CATCCTTCCATCTATCCATCCATCCATCCATCCATCCATGCATCCTTCCATCTATCCATCCATCCATCCATCCATCCTTCCATCCATCCATCCATCCATCCATCCATCCATCCATCCATCCTTCCATCTATCCATCCATCCATCCATCCATCCATGCATCCTTCCATCTATCCATCCATCCATCCATCCATCCTTCCATCCATCCATCCATCCATGCATCCTTCCATCCATCCATCCATCCATCCATCCATCCATCCATCCTTCCTTCCTTCCTTCCTTCCTTCCTTCCTTCCTTCCTTCTATCCATCCATCCATCCATCCATCCATCCTTCCATCTATCCATCCATCCATGCATCCATCCATCCATCCATGCATCTTTCCATCCATCCATCCATCCATCCATCCATCCATCCATCCAGTGAATCAACACATATAATCTGAGCACCTTCTATGTATGTGTGGTCCTGGAGGAGGTGACAGGGATGGGGCGAGTTTGCTGTCTTTGAGTTCACAGCCTGGTGGGGGACATAGCATGGGCATAAACATCAAGACTTTATGATAGACCAAAAAAGACCCTAAGGTGGGTTCAGATCAGTGTTCAGAGGAAGGGGGTGACTTTTATCTGGGGACAGGGAATGGTAGAGATGCTTGAAGGCAGAGATGGCACTTACTCTGGTGGGGTAGGATTGGGCACGAGGACAATGAGGACAAAGTCATTACAGGGTGGGTATGGGGAACAGCATGAGCAAAAGCTCGGAGGCTGGAACGCTAGGCTGGATTTGGGGAGGGAAGGTGGCTGTAGTGATAGTACTGCTTTGCAGGTTCTGGGGTGAGGATGGGGTAAGGAGTGAGGGAGGTGAGAAGATTGGAGGGAGCGTTCACTTTCACCGTGGAGGTGCCTACGCCCCCCAGGCACAGTTCCCCTTTCAGATCCGCCACCTGGACTCTAGCCCAGCCTTTGTGCATTCAGCCCTCACTGAGTCTTGGTCCTGGGGAAGCACCCCCTGCTCGGCTCCCCGGTGAGGGTCATGCAGAGAATCACCTCCCCGGTGAGGGTCATGCAGAGAATCAGCTCCCCGGTGAGAGTCATGCAGAGGGTGCAGTTTGTCTTTCCTTCCTGGCCTTAGGGCATTGCCATCTTCCTGCTGAGACCCTCGGATCTACAGTCCATCCTCTCGGATGCCTGGTTTCACTTTGTCTTGTAAGTAGGTCTGGCCCCTCGGTTATCGCCTCACAGGCAGGGTTGGTGTCCTGTATGGCAGCTGCCGCGTCCCCCTGGAACAGCCACCCTGCCGTGCCACCGTGTCCCAGTCACTCTGCCGTGGTTACACGCCAGGGCTCTCCTGTCTTCCTCCCCGCAGGAGACACGTAGACGCCCATGGAGAGGGTCAGAAAACGTCAGGGCTGCCGGGCGCAGTGGCTCATGCCTGTAATTCCAGCACTCTGGGAGGCCAAGGTGGTGATGATGGCCGACTCCACCCGTCACAGAGCCCCAGGCAGAAGGCAGCATGGAGTGGAGAAGGCAGGAACAGCCTTAGCAGTCCTGTTTACGGATTTTTTTTTTTTTTTTTAATTGAGATGGAGTTTCACTTTTGTTGCCCAGGCTGGAGTGCAGTGGCGTGACCTTAGTTCACTACAACCTCTACCTTCTGGGTTCAAGTGATTCTCCTGCCTCAGCCTCCCGAGTAGCTGGGATTACAGATGTGCGCCACCGCGCCTGGCTAATTTTATATTTTTAGTAGAGACAGGGTTTTGCCATGTTGGTCAGGCTGGTCTTGAACTCCTGACCTCAAGTAATCTGCCCGCCTCGGCCTCCCAGAGTGCTGGGATTCCAGGCATGAGCTCCCGCGCTGGCCTCTTCTGCTTCTTATTTGTTTTGTTAGCGTGGAGGGAGACATTCTTCCTCGTTTCAGTCTAAAATGCAGTTGATGAATCCGATGGTTTCTCTTACAGCCGTGCCTGTGTTGTGACTTTGGTTAGCTGTTTTATAATTTCGGAAACTGCCTGATGTTATAAGACAATGTTTTTATCCCGATGTCTGTATATGACTGTGTAGGAGTAGATTTTGATTTTGTATGTTTGCGATATATTGTACTTAAACACATTTTAACCGTGGGCCAGGCACGATAGCTCGTGCTTGTAATCCCAGCACTTTGGGAGACCAAGGTGGGTGGATCATCTGAGGTCAGGAGTTCGAAACCAGCCTGGTGAAACCCCCTTCTCTCTACAAAAAATACAAAAATTAGCCGGGTGTGGTGGCATGTACCTGTAATCCCAGCTACTCGGGAGGCTGAGGCAGGAGAATTGCTTGAACCCGGGAGGCGGAGGCTGCAGTGAGCCGAGATCGTGCCACTGCACTCCAGCCTGGGCGATAGAGCGACACTACGTCTCAAAAAAAAAAAACCAAGAAACAAAAAACAAAACTTAATTGTGGTAGAATACACGTAACATAAAAGTTAGCATTATAACCGTTTTTTAAGCATACAAATTAATACTTTGAAGTACATTCACGTTGTTGGGCAGCCTTCAGACCTGTTTTCGTCCTGCAAAACCGAAACTCCATACCCATTAAACAACAGCCCCTATTCCTCTCCTTTCCTGGCCTCCTGTAACCACCATTCTTCCTTCTTTCCCTGTGAATTGGACTATTTCAGGTACCTCATATGTGGAGTCATATAGTGGAATCATCTAGCTTACTTCACTTAGCATATATCATACTTTAAAAAGATTTAATGCCAGGCGAGGTGGCTCACGCCTGTAATCCCAGCACTTTGGGAGGCCGAGGTGGGCGGATCACCTGAGGTCAGAAGTTCGAGACCAGCCTGGCCAACATGGTGAAACCCTATCTCTACTAAAAATACAAAAATGAGCCGGATATGGTGGCACGCACCTGTAATCCCAGCTACCAGGGAGGCTGAGGCAGGAGAATCGCTTGAGCCTGGGAGGCAGAGGTTGCAGTGAGCAGAGATTGTGCCACTGCCCTCCAGCCTGGGGGACACAGCGACACTCCGTCTCTGCCTGCAGCCCCCCCACCCAAAGAAACCACCACGATTTAAAAAGTAGAGTTCGGGGGACTTTTGTTATAATTGGCTTATAAGTATAGATATTGGCAGTTTTTGTCATTTCGGTTAAAAATGCAATCATTTACCACATCTTCGGTCTACTCCAGTAGTTCTCAAATCGACGTGGGAATCAGAAATTATGTGAGTGATTTAGATTGTTTTTCTACTTTTGTTTTTTTTTTTTTTTGTAGAGACAAAGTCTCACTATGTTGCTCAGGCTGGTCCTGAACTCCTGGCCTGAAGCGCTTCTCCTACCTCAGCCTCCCAAAGTGTTGGAATTACAGGCGTGAGCCACTACGCCAGGCCCGTGTGGGTAATTTAAAAAATATATGGCCTCCGAGGCAGCACCCTAGAATCTTCTGCGGCCCTGTGGATGTTTTTTTTTGTTTTGTTTTGTTTTGTTTTTAAACTCCCCACCAGCTGCAATCAGCTTACCACTTGCTGTGACTGGCATCTGGTGCTGTCTCTACAGGCTGAATTCTATGGTAGCCAAATGGATCTGAGGCAGCCTGATTCCGGTCTCTTCAGCATCCGTCACGGGGTGACTGCTCAGGGGGTTTAAGGGAGGTTTGGGGGATTTGCCTATCTTTGCCCTGATGCTGAGAAGTAAGTAAGGCCCGTGTTTCCTGTGTCTCCTGAACAGTTTTATCCAAGCTGTGCTTGTGATACTGTCTGTCTTCTTGTACTTGTTTGCCTACAAAGAGTACCTCGCCTGCCTCGTGCTGGCCATGGCCCTGGGCTGGGCGAACATGCTCTACTACACGAGGGGGTTCCAGTCCATGGGCATGTACAGCGTCATGATCCAGAAGGTGCGTTGGGAGCTGTGCCGGCGGGAGGGCCCTTTTTCAGATGGGGAAACTGAGATCTGGAGAGGAAGAGGGGCAGGTCACTGCTCTTTCTCCCGAATGCCATGCGCTCCCTTTGCTTTCGGTCAGGCTTTACGTGTCCAGACCTTAAATCCCCCAGGCTTGTGGGGCGCTGGGGAGGGGTACACTTCGTGGAGGAATGTTCTCACCCCGGGTAGTGGCGTGCTGGTAAACATGTAACAACTGCTCTGTGTGTGTGTGTGTGTGTGTGTGTGGGTGGAATATGTATATATATACGTGTATGTACGTATACACATACACTTATACAGTTTACTATGTAAAGGATGTGTATCACGCAATTTGCAAATAATGAAAATATACATACAGTTTATTGTAAATTCCACGTAGCCAAGTCTTAGAATAATTTGTTGCTTTTTTTTTTTTTTGAGACTGAGTCTCGCTCTGCTGCCCAGGCTGGAGTGCAGTGGTGCGATCTTGGCTCACTGCAACCTCTTCCTCCTGGGTTCAAGCAATTCTCCTGCCTCAGTCTCCAGAGTAGCTGGGATCACAGGCATGCACCACCATGCCTGGATAATTTTTGTATTTTTAGTGGAGATGGGATTTCACCATGTTGGCCAGGATTGTCTCAAACTCCTGAACAGGTGATCCACCCGACTCAGCCTCCCAAAGTGTTAGGATTACAGGGGTGAACCACTGCGTCCAGCCTATTTGTTGCTTTTTATTGAATTCTAGTTTTTGTTGTCAACTTTTGGTTGCAATTGACAGAAGACTGCTGTTCAGATATGAATGTTGGTTGAGATTTTTCTTTATAAGCAGTGATTAAAGTAAAACAATTAAGATTTATGTTGAACTTTACTTGTTTATCAATGATGTGAGCAACTTCTTTGCTAGTTTGCAAAGTTTGGATCCTAGTTTGCAAACTAGTTTGGATACTAGTTTGCAAATATCAGAAGAATATTCTGTTGGTATTTTTGTGCTATACACAATGTAAAGGCTGTGGACAGAACACATTTTAAATTTGATCTGGATTAATAGTTTCTCCATTACTGTCTTAAATCATTTAGATCTAGATATCAACAAAACAATGAGTCAATCAATCTCTGATTTGTGGCATTTACTAATTTTCATGATGTAAATACAGTAGCCCCGCCTTATTCTTGGGGAAAATGTTCTAAGACCCCCCATGAATGCCTGAAACTGCAGATAGTACCAAACCCTATATAATATGCTGTTTTTTCCTATACGTATACATCTATGCAAATAATGAAAATATACTATACAATACAGTTTATTGTAAATTTCACTTGGCCAGTTGAGTCTTAGAATAATTTTTTGCTTTTTTTTTTTTTTTGGTGACTGAGTCTCACTCTGTCACCCAGGCTGGAGTGCAATAGTGCGATCTTGGCTCACTGCAACCTCTGCCTCCCGGGCTCAAGCAATTCTCCTGCCCCAGCGGGACTACAGGTGTGCGGGGACTACAGGTGTGCGCCACCAGGCCCAGCTAATTTTTGTATTTTTAGTAGAGACAGGGTTTCACCATGTTGGCCAGGCTGGTCTCCAACTCTTGACCTCAGGTGATCTGCCTGCCTCAGCCTCCCAAAGTGCTGGGGGCGGGTGGGGGGAAGCAGCAAATGATTTTAAGACTCAACTGGCTATGTGGAATTTATAAAATGTATTTTTATAAATTAGGCACAGAGATATTAATGGCAATAACTAACAGAACAACGATAACAATACACTGTAATAAAAGTAGATGAGCGTTGTCTCTCTCTTTCAGAATATTGTATTGTATGTAAGATTTCTGGGTCTTAGTTGACCACAGGCAACCAAAACTGCAGAAAGTGAAATTGAAGAGAAGGGCGGACTACTGTTCTCCTCCCAGGGCCAGTTTCCAGCTACCAACATTATGTTACTGGACGTGGAGTTAGGGAGAAACATGCAGATCCACACCACTCTAGAATTCCCGCCATATGGCTATCATAGAGATAAGTAACCTCAAAAGCACACACAATTGTAAATATAGTGAAATAACTAGACAGGGATGAGTTTTGAACATTTATTGTCTTTGTTTTATTTAATTAAATTAATTAATTTTTTGAGATGGAGTCTTGCTCTGCCTCCCAGGCTGCAGTGCAGTGGCACGATCTAGGCTCGCTGCAACCTCTTCCTCCTGGGTTTAAGCAATTCTCCTTCCTCAGCCTCTGGAGTAGCTGGGATCAAAGGTGAGTGCCACCTTTGTATTTTTTTTTTTTTTTTTGTATTTTTGTATTTTTAGTAGAGACGGGGTTTTGCCACGTTGGCCAGGCTGGCCTCCAACTCCTGACCTCAGGCGATCCACCCACCTCGGCCTCTCAAAGTGTTGGGATTACAGGCTTGAGTCACTGCGCCCGGCTTGTCTCTGTTTTAAATATAACTTACTTTATTTAATTGTAAGTTTATATGGTTTAATTTTTTGGCAATACAAATAATAATTTATCCTCAACTTTTTTTTCTTTTTTCTTTTTTTTTTTTGAGATGGAGTCTTGCTCTGTCGCCCAGGCTGGAGTGCAGTGGCACGATCTCAGCTCACAGCAAGCTTCGCCTCCCAGGTTCACCCCATTCTCCTGCCTCAGCCTCCTGAGTAGCTGGGACTACAGGTGCCACCACCACACCCGGCTAATTTTTTGTATTTTTAGTAGAGACAGAATTTCACTGTGTTAGCCAGGATGGTCTTGATCTCCTGACCTCGTGATCCGCCCGCCTTGGCCTCCCAAAGTACTAGGATTACAGGCATGAGCCTCTGCGCCCGGCCTTATCCCCAACTTTATTGAGGTATAGTTGACATATATAATTGTATAAATTTAAGATATACAATATGAGGATTTGATATAGGTATATATTATGAAATGATTCCCAATTTCAAATTAGTTAACATACCCATTGCCTCACATAGTTGCCATTTCTTTGTGGGGTGAGAACATTTGTGATCTATTCTCTTAGCAAATTTCTAATCCACAACACAGTATTGTTAACTACAGCCATCATGCTGTCCATTAGATCCCCAGAACTTATTCATCGTATAACTGAAAGTTTGATTTAGTTCTGAATAATGGCTGTGTTTAACAACCAGCTCACAAGCTTCATGAGAAGTTAACAGCTCTTGCGAGCTGTTCTGAGCTGGCTCCAGCATGCCACTGCCCCCAGGAATGTGAGGATTCCAGATGTGAGACCCTATGGTGAAAGGCACAGGGTGAATCACAGGGAGAAGAGAACCTGGGGCTAGAGCAGAAACAGAAGGCTTCCTGGAGGAAGTGGGATTCAGAGCTGGGTATTGGAGCATCAGGAGGATTTGGCTGGGGGAAGGGAGAGTGGCCTAAGTGAGTGAGGAGATGGTTAGGGGGGAGGTGGGAGAGGGTGGGAAGCAGGAAGATCAGGGGACCGTGAATATGTGCTTATATCTTACTCTTGAATTATGTTTATTTCTTTGTAGGTCATTTTGCATGATGTTTTGAAGTTCTTGTTCGTATATATCGTTTTTTTGCTTGGATTTGGAGTAGGTAATTGATTTATAAATGATAGTAACTCCCACATTTATAAACACTTTATTCAGATGTCAAAATGACAAAGCATATGGTGGCCTCAGCAGCAATTAGACCAGCTACCAGTGGGGCACCTGCCAAGCTTGGCATTTTCCAAGCATTACCTTTTTACTTCTCTCAACAACTTGATCAAGTGGGAGTCGTCGCCCCGATCATAAGATAGCTGAGGCTTAGAGACTCCAGGATTTGAACCAGGCCAGCCACTCATGATCCAGCTTCACCGTGTAGTACACGCCTCTGGCTTTCCCATTCATTGCTTATGTGGCCCTCACGACCTAAGACAGGTCCTGCAAGTGTTTTCAGCCCGATTTTACAGATGGGGAAACTAAAGTCCACAGAAACTTGACTGATGGTCTTTGCAAAGTAGGAGCAAAGTAATGCCCTGAGGCAACTTCCTTTGGGTTTCACATCATGTTGCTCTCACAGTACGCTTTAGATATAACTGTGAGAGCCTCTCTGGTCTGCTGGGACCAGGAAGGAGCCCCCTCTTAAAATCTCTCCATGTGCGACAGAGGGAACAGCACCATCTGGTTGCATTTCTAACCTCTGCATAGAGAGATCGTTTCCCCCCACATACCAGTTGCTTTTTTTTTCTTTTCTTCGGTGACCATTGACATTTGAAATTAGGTAGCTGTGTCCATCTGTCTGGTACCTCTTCTGGGTCACAATTTGCTTATTTATTTGCTCCTTCACCTGCTTGTTTATTAATCCATCTATTTACTCTCTCATTTAATTTGCTCATCCACCTATCTAGTCATCCATCCATCCATCCATCCATCCATCCATCCATCCATACATACATCCATCCATCTATCCACCCATCCAATCATCCATCCATCCATTCATCCATCCATCTAATCATCCATCCATCAATCCATCCATCCATCTAATCATCCATCTATCCATCCCTCCATCTATCCAATCATCTATCCATCCATCCATCTGATCATCCATCCATCCATCCATCCACCTGTCTATCCATCTATCCATCCATCCATCCATCCATCCATCCATCCATCCATCCATCCATCTATCAATCCATCCAATCATCCATCCATTCATTCATCCGTCCATCTAATCATCCATCCATCAATCCATCCATCCATCTAATCATCTATCCATCCATCCCTCCATCCATCCAATCATCTATCCATCCATCTATCTAATCATCCATCTATCCATCCATCCATCCATCCATCCATCCATCCATCCATCCATCCATGCAATCATCCATCCATCCATCCATCCCTCCCTCCCTCCATCCATCCATCCATCCAATCATCTATCTATCCATCCATCTAATCCCTCGTCCATCCATCCATCCATTCATTCATTCATCCATCCAATCATCCATCTAATCATCCATCCATCCATCCATCCATCCATCCATCCAGCAGTGAACGTCTACTGTGGTGTGTTGGAAAGAAGGGAAGTGTGAGCCTGATCTTGCTCATGGGAAACTCACAACAGAGCATTAGGAGGAGACTCAGGATCTTACAGCCTTGAGGGAGATGAGTCAGGCTAGAGGAAGTCAGGAGCTCAAAAACTAGCTGGGGAGCCAGGGACAGACACATGGATTATAATTAGCAACTCTGCAAGGCTGGAAGTGATCAAGGGCTGACTGTGGGGTAGAGGAAGGAGAGAAGACTCTGGGCTTTGTTAGGCGGAAGGGCTTTCTGCAGGAGGCCAGGGCAGAGAAGTCAGCCCGATGAGGCTTTGGGAGGACCTGAAGCTGGAGATGGGATTTAATGGCCAGAGAGAAGGAGACAGCAGGCTTGTCATGTGGGCAAATACACACAAGCTTGTAGAGTAATTCACCAGGCGGAGAGCTGAGGAGAGCACCCTGTTATGTTCCCCTAGCCCTGGCCTCACTGATCGAGAAGTGTCCCAAAGACAACAAGGACTGCAGCTCCTACGGCAGCTTCAGCGACGCGGTGCTGGAACTCTTCAAGCTCACCATCGGCCTGGGTGACCTGAACATCCAGCAGAACTCCAAGTATCCCATTCTCTTTCTGTTCCTGCTCATCACCTACGTCATCCTCACCTTCGTTCTGCTCCTCAACATGCTCATTGCCCTGATGGGCGAGACTGTGGAGAACGTCTCCAAGGAGAGCGAGCGTATCTGGCGCCTGCAGGTGAGTCTAGGTGGAGACCCCAGTGTGGGGGCCTCCATGGGATTCAGTTCAGCACATGGTCATTGACTACTGTCAGCACCAGTGGGTCTGTGGTGGGGCCTGAGAATCTGCACAAGCTGCTCAGTGTGTGGCCAGGATTGAGGAAGCCTTAGCCTAGGTTCTTTGAGTGTAGGGTCTACGAAGTGTGGCTGTGCAACAGCATGTGTAGAAAAACTCAGGCTTACAGGGGTGCTGCGTTCAGGGTTGACAATGTGATTGATGGATGTTGAAGTATGACCTTAGGTTGTATTAAGAGGAGTACAGCGCCTAGGACAATGGAGGTGACAGTTCTGCTCAATTCTATCCTGGCCTGAACACTTCTTATGTGCTGAGGAAACCAATGCATAGGATGGGTCCCGAGGTGGTAACCAGGTTTGGGAGAGGACTGGAGACTACCTCTTAAGAAATAGTTGTTGGCGGCCAGGCATGGTGGCTCACCCCTGTAATCTTAGTACTTCGGAAGTCCGAGGCGGGTGGATCACCTGAGGTCAAGAGTTTGAGACCAGCTTGACCAACCTGGTGAAACCTCATCTCGACTAAAAATACAAAAACTTGCCGGGTGTGGTAGTGGGCGCCTGTAATCCCAGCTACTCTGAGGCAGGAGAATCGCTTGAACCCAGGAGGTGGAGGTTGCAGTGAGTGGAGATCGTGCCATTGCACTCCAGCCTGGGTGACAGAGCAAAAACTCTGTCTCAAAAAAAGAAAAAGAAATGCTTATTGATAAAGGTGAGAGTGCCTTCAGGTATGTACAGAGCAACCCGTGCAAGAGGGAGCAGACCCCTTCTGTGGTCCCAGAAGGCAGAGGTACATGGGGGTGCTACAGGGAGAAAAACTTTGATGTGACACATAGAAGTTTCTCATTATTAAGGCCCTCCTTTTTTTTTTTTTTTTTGAGACAGGGTCTTGCTCTGTCGCCCAGGCTGGAGTGCAGTGGCGCGATCTCAGCTCACTGCAACCTCTGCCTCCCGGGCTCAAGAGATTCTCCCACCTCAGCCTCCCAAATAGCTGGGATTACAGGCACACGCCACCACAGCTGGGTCATTTTTGTATTTTTTGTAAAGATGAGGTTTCACCATGTTGCCCAGGCTGCCCTCATACTCCTGAGCTCAAAGCGATTCACCTGCCTCAGCCTCCCAAAGTGCTGGGATTACAGGTGTGAGCCACTGTACCTGGCCAAGGCCCTCTTAATTGGTTTGTTGATACTACTCAAGAGAGACTGGAAAAATTATGGCCAGGAAACAGCAGAGAGGTTCCAAGCCTGGGAGGGGGTGGGACTGAATGATGTTCGAATGGTCCTCTGCCATGGGATTCCAGGACCCCAGCCCTGTCAGAGAGGAAGCTCCTGGGCTTTTAGAAATACTATTTCTATCATGGAGTTTCGCTCTGTCGCCTAGGCTGGAGTGCAGTGGAGGGATCTCGGCTCACTGCAACCTTCAACCCCTGGGTTCAAGTGATTCTCCTGCCTCAGCCTCCTGAGTAGCTGGGATTATAGACATCTGACACTGGCCCAGCTAATTTTTGTGTTTTTAGTACAGACAGGGTTTCACCATGTTGGCCAGGCTGGCCTTGAACTCCTAACCTCAGGTGATCCACCCGCCTTGGCCTCCCAAAGTGTTAGGATTACAGGCGTGAGCCACTGCGCCCAGCCTGCTTTTTTGTCTTTGAATTCTGTAGATCAGCCAAACCCTTCGGATCCGTTAAGCATGGGGCGAGGGGGGAGTGGGCTCACTGACGGTGTGTGTGCACTTGTGTGTGCTTGTGAGTGCGAGTGCCTACTCCTTAGACTTGCTTATGTCCCCAGAGAGCCAGGACCATCTTGGAGTTTGAGAAAATGTTACCAGAATGGCTGAGGAGCAGATTCCGGATGGGAGAGCTGTGCCGAGTGGCCGAGGAAGATTTCCGACTGTGTTTGCGGTAACCAAGGGGGAAGGGCCCTGGGGCGGTGGTCTCTGGGGTGGGTAGAGAGGGGCAGGTCAGTGACAAGATGTTAGAGAAACAGTGCCGCTGCTTGCTCCCCATAACCACAGCTGCTGTCTCTCCCAGTGGCCTCCTCGGAAGAAGGAATTTGCTTTTGGGGTTGTAGGGCCCTGGGATGGGGGTTCCCGAGCTTCAGAAGAGAAAGAGAAGGAGACTGCCAACAGTGGCTCCCCTCTCTGCCTTTTTTTTTTCTTTTTTTTCTGTTTTTGAGACAGAGTTTTGCTCTTGTTGCCCGGGCTGGAGTACAATGGCACGATCTCGGCTCACTGCAACCTCTGCCTCCTGGGTTCAAGCAATTCTCCTGCTTCAGCCTCCTGAGTAGCTGGGATTACCGGCATGTACCACCCCACCCAGCTAATTTTGTATTTTTAGTAGAGGCAGAGTTTCACCACATTGGTCAGGCTGGTCTCGAACTCCTGACCTCAGGTCATCCACCCACCTCGGCCTCCCAAAGTGCTGGGATTAGAGGCATGAGCTACCACGCCCAGCCCCTCTCTCTGCCTTTTTGAAGGTGCCTCCACAGTCTCTCTCTGTTTGCTATCTGCTTTAGGGAAGATCTGCCTGCTTGGCACTCCTTTTCCTGCTGTTTACCTGTGTGAGTTCCTGTGACCCCAGGTGACTTGAGTCCCATTTTGCCCCTGGCAGATGGAAAGTGACACGGCTACTTTGACAGATCTCTGGCTTTTTGATTTTTTTTTTTTTAAGTCCTTACTTATCCCATGACCACCTTTTCTTTTTTCTTTTCTTTTCTTTCTTTCTTTCTTTCTTTTTTTTTTTTAAATGGAGTTCCAGGCTGGAGTGCAGTGGTGCGATCTCTGCTCACTGCAACCTCGGCCTCCCTAGTTCAAGCGATTCTTATGCCTCAGCCTCCCCAGTAGCTGGGACTACAGGCACACGCCACCACGCCTGGATAATTTTTGTATTTTTAGTAGAGACTGGGTTTCATCATGTTGGCCAAGCTGGTCTTGAACTCCTGGCCTCAAGTGATCCACCTGCCTTGGCCTCTCAAAGTGCTGGGATTACAGGCATAAGCCACCGCGCCCGGTTCCATGACCACCTTTTCAGATAAGCCCACCTTCTCCTACCCTGACCCAGCTACCTGAGCCTACGGACCACATTCTTTGAGTATGACCTTAACCCACTTCTCTGACTGAAACCCCACCCCCTGGAAAGCTTCATTTCTGACTGCAATGATTACCCTAACGAACATTTCTGATGTTGCCACCTTCACTCTAGAGACCTTCTCTGGATGTGAATTTAAGTCACATCAATGCCTATGGTTGTATTCGAACACCTCAGACGCCACCCACTCTTGTTGGGGCGTAGACCCTAACCACAGGCTCTTCGTGCCTCCTCAACCCCAGCTACACTTGGAGTTTAATCTTCACACCCTCGCAGCCTGGGCCCTCCCTCTGTCTGTCCCCGCTTCCCCTTGGGCTGTCACCAGTCAGGCACAGCTGCTGTTGTCTGAAGTTGGACCCTTTATACCTGTCTGAGCAACTTGCAGGATTTCTGAGTTCCCTACAATGGAAGGAGAACTGATTCTCTGAGGCCTGGGGACATGGAGATGGGGATAGAGTTCAAACTCCAACAACACTGGTGTGACCACTGGGGTCAAGGGTGCTCCTGATCTCCCGGACAGACAGAAGGGGAGCTGTGTAGACACCAGGACGTCCCAAACCAGGGTTATTTGTTTGCACTCAGTGAGGCACTGGTGAAATAGTAAGAATGATGATCCCACTTGCAGGATCAATGAGGTGAAGTGGACTGAATGGAAGACGCACGTCTCCTTCCTTAACGAAGACCCGGGGCCTGTCAGACGAACAGGTACTGTTGCTGTGAGGTGACATGGTGTCCACTCCTGTCTCAGACCACGTAACCTTGGGCAGATCAAATCTAAGGGTCCTGACTTTCCTCATCTGTCAAATGGGAGGGTTGAATGGAAATGCTGCTTAGGTCTCTTCCAGCTCTGACTTTTAGAACTCTAGTTGGCATGACTTTTTTTTTTTTTTTTTTTGAGACGGAGTCTTGCTCAGACGTCCAGGCTGGAGTGCAGTGGCGCGATCTCGGCTCACTGCAAGCTCCGCCTCCCGGGTTCAGGCCATTCTCCTGCCTCAGCCTCCTGAGTAGCTGGGACCACAGGTGCCCGCCATCATGCCCGGCTAGTTTTTTTGTATTTTTTAGTAGAGACGGGGTTTCACCGTGTTAGCCAGGATGGTCTCGATCTCCTGACCTTGTGATCCGCCCGTCTTGGCCTCCCAAAGTGCTGGGATTACAGGCGTGAGCCACGGCGCCCGGCCGGCATGACTTTTAAAATGGTGTAGCCTTAAGCCATAGAAACACACCATGCAGGCCGGGCACGGTGGCTCACGCCTGTAATCCCAGCACTTTGGGAGGCCGAGTTGGGTGACTCACCTGAGATCAGGAGTTTGAGACCAGCCTGGCCAACAAACCCCGTCTCTACTAAAGATACAAAAATTAGCTGAACGTGGTGGTGGGTGCCTATAATCCCAGCTACTCGGGAGGCTGAGTCAGGAGAATTGCTTGAACCTGGGAGGTGGAGGTTGCAATGAGCTGAGATCGCACCACTGCACTCCAGCCTGGGTGACAAGAGTGAAATTCCATCTCAAAAAAAAAAAAAAAAAAAAGACAAAGAAACACATTATGCAGAGTGATCTATTTCTAAAATATATATTTTTAAAAAAGCAGATTTCAACAAAATCCAAGATTCTTCCAGGAACAACAGCAAAACCACTCTCAATGCCTTTGAAGAAATAGAGGATTTCCCGGAAACGTCGGTGTAGAAGCGGAACCGGAGCCGGCGTGCGCGTGCGCTGTCTGGCGCTGCAGGCGGAGTCACGGCCCCTGCGGAGAGGCTTTGAGGGATGATGGAGTTTGGCTCTGCTGGTGTAGCAGCAGAGTGCACCCTCATGCTCAGTGCTCAGTGGGTGTCTGAACTGAGGGGCAGTTGTCAGTTTGTCTGAGTGGAAAATATCCTGGATTTTGTTACTGGGCAAGGAGTTGGTGTAAACCTACAGCCAGCAGCAGTCTGGAGCCTGGGAGCCTCCTGAAGTCCTGGGTGAAGCCTCTGGTTTTACCAGTTGCAGGTGGGCTTGGCTGGGAGAGATGGGTGGCAGGGAAGGGGCAGGAGCCTTGAGGAGCAGGGAAAGGCGCCTTTCCTCCTGCCAGCTTCCCCCAGCCCCAGCCCACACGTTGTACCGTCTCTCCTGCTGTGACTGGGTTGCCTGAATTTGGGGAGACCCTTGATCCCATCCCAGAGTGTGCCGGGGACGGAGGTAAGCCGGATATCCTGGGGGAGGAAGGGAATGAGCTCTGGAAACATCCTTCCGGAACCCTTCAGGGAAAAGGAGACCATCCTTGGAGTGAACCTCCCCTGACGCCCCAAGGTTCACACTGCCTCAAGCTGAGACAGGTTTTTAGTAGCATAAGTAATACAGGGTTTAAATTTTCAATATGGAAAAGACATTTCAGTTAAGAATGAAAATTACTACAATGAAGTATGTGATTTTAAAAGTGGAGACAGATTGGGAGCTTTGGGGCTGGATGTAAGTATTATATATTTGGCCTCAGGGTGCCCAGAGCCAGACAAAAAGCTTTTCTTCACACACACAAAAGTCTGCATGAGACACGCCGGGCAAGTCCTGCTGGGCCGCCGCGATCTGGGTGAAAGGGCCTGGCTCTTGTCCGTGTCCTGGCCTCGCAGTAGTGCCTGCCTCTGCGCTGGGATCTTGGCTTCAGCTGAAGCAGAAATAGCAGCTGCTCGATCGATGCCATCTTAGAACTCAGCAGTTAGTCACATACCTCAGTATGTCTCAGTGGGGGAATTTAACAAAAAGGCCTCAACTGCTTTGGTACGAAGTATTTTTTTTTTTAACTGTGAATTTTGAAGCTGAAAGGGGAGCTTGTGAGAGAGAAGCCTTTGCCAAGACTTTGGGCTTATTTTTAGGTCCTCATCCTCTGATGTTCTCCTTCTGAAATGAGACGGAGTCAGTCTGGGGGCAGAGGTGAAGTGGAGACGGAAGGATTTGCCAGGTGACTGGGGCCGAAACCACCAGAAAATCCACTCTGCCACCATTAGCTAGTGAAAGGATTCATGTAAAGATGTTCGAGGTGGAATTATAAAAATAGTAACCGTGAATGTTAATCTTAAATGGCAGAAATAGAAATTTGGCCTTCAGATAACATGACGATTGATTAGTTCATCTGGCTTGAGGCAAACTAAGGAGTGCGGACCTGGCAGTGCACTCTGGGCCAGTTGCTCTGCTCTGGGCCACTCTGTGTGCCAGACTAGCTGGGCAGATAGAGACTCTGTGCCCCTGATGGGGCTGGTTGGGGAGAGGTGGGCTGGGGTGTGTGCGGCTTCACAATCCACAGCAGTCCCTGCCCTCCGGGCTGACCCAGGGAGTAACTGCATACTCTGAGCCACAGTGGTGGGGGCTGGGCATGGGCCTCTGGAGAAGAGAAGATTTGAGGCGGACTGTCCTAGAGGCAGGAGGAGCGGATGTGTTCCAGAATGGGCAGAACTAGGAAATTGAGAAAGATTTTGGCTCAATCCAATCCAGCAGCTGCTCCAGATGTTGGAGATGTTTAAGCAAAAGCTGGTCGAGCCCTTAGTGAGGGATGTTGTTGAAAATGGTCATTGGAAGAAGTGTAAGGTCCCTTTTAGCCTGGAGATTTCTGCAGAGCAGCATTCCACATCTGGAATTAGCTACCCGCATTAAGCCTGAACAGACATCTTGGTCTGAAAGGAAGTGGTTAGGATTCATGATGCCACGCTCTACACTGTGGAGCTGGGAATTCCAGAAGTGCTTTGACTCGGATATTAATGGAGAAAGTCCTATCCATTAATGAATAAAGCCGTATCTTATGGATAAAGCCATATCCAGAATTGCTTTGACTCAGATGTTGATGGATAAAGCCATATCCAGAATTGCTTTGACTCAGACATTGATGGATAAAGCTGTATCCAGAATTGCTTTGACTTAGATGTTGATGGATAAAGCCATATCCAGAATTGCTTTGACTCAGACATTGATGGATAAAGCCGTATCCAGAATTGCTTTGACTCAGATATTAATGGATAAAGCTAATTATCGATTTCTATTTGCCTAACCTGCCAGCTTTTGTCCAAGTGCGGAATGGAGAGCCATGTGGATGTTTGTTATCTCACACGTGATGGAGAGCTGCTCTCTGTGGGTCTGGATGGAATTGGTTGGCAAGACCATTTTCTGTATTGGATATTCTTCCCAACCATGTCCACCCCAAAAGGCTTTCAGCCAAAAGGTCTGAGCCTAGGTAGGTTTACCAAGGGAAGCCATGAGTCAAGAAGCATCAGAGTGAAAAGGACCACTTCCTTCATTTTACCTCCGGAGGCTAATGCTCCAAGAGGAATATGTACTTGGGCAAAGTCATGCGGGAAGGTCATATCAGAGCTGCGGAGGCTGGGGTGTCCTGATTCTTGGACCACAGATGTCTCCCTGAGCCATTATTTGTTTAGTTTTAAAAAGCACAGTTATTCCACCATTTTGAGTCTGTCTTTGTAGTTGGCTTATATTGGGGGAGCAGGACTGTTTTCTCAGGTGTTTCATTTGGCAGTCAACATTGTCCCCTATGTTCCCTGTGACTAGTTGAAAATTCAGTTGTGCCCACAGGGTGCACAAAAGCACACCCACACTCACCCACACACACCCACACACACCCACCCCCCCATACACCCACACCCACACCCCACTGAACCCATGGGTCTATCAGGACATCTTAAAACTCCGTGATTGACATTTCAGTAATTTCAGGGGAAGGCGTTTTCCAGGGATGGGATCTCCCAGGCTCAGATAGTGCCTTGGCTGTAAATGCTCCTTTAGCTAAACTTTTCCTCAGAAGAATTCATTATTCTAGACATTATGTGATATATCTGTTTGGAATAAAAGGTGCTTAACCTTCCTCCCTGGGATGTGGGAGAAGGTGCTGGAGGTTGTACTGTGAAGTCATTAAGCTCTTAGAAGGCTCCAGCCTGAGAGAGTCCAGTATTATTGACATTCCTTTCCTTCCTCAACGCCTGGTGACCTGTGTCCTTTCGCTCTGGGCAGGGCCCAGGTAGATGGGCCGTCATCCGGGCCTGTAAGCCGTACTTGATTTCCGCATTGATTTACATATTTTTTACTGTGATCTTGGTTCCAAACACAGAATTGTCATCCCATTTTCCTTGAATGTGCCGAATCCTTGTAAATTCTCATTTACCTACTTGTTCTTAGTGTTGTGTGTGTGTGTGAAACTCTATGTTCAAGGAAGAAATCGTACAAAGAGTAAGAACATGTTTGTGCCATTGAAGAAATGGTTTTTTGATTTCTAATAAATATTTATTTTGCCTTGTTATGGCCATGTTTTATCCATGCCTAGGTGTGCCAATGTGCAGACTGACTGGAAACCCTAGAGTGTTGGTAACAGGAGTGGGTAAAGGGAAGGCCAGTTTTTGGACCTGAAATATTATCATTGGTTCCAGCTTAGGAACAGAGCCAGCAAGCCATCAGACATGTCACCTTTGTATGTATTTGCATCTCAAAGCACATTCACATCAGGTAGCCAATTTGAATCATTCAGCAGCTGTGGAAGCAGTTTGAGTTAAAGGAGACTCAGGGGGTTGAAGCCATGTGCCCCAGGATGCACAGCCAGATAATGTCAGTCGTTCAGGCCATGAAACCTCTCAGAGTGCTGTGTCCACTTCTGCACAGCAAAACAAACTACCATCAGAGTGAACAGGCAACCTACAGAACAGGAGAAAATTTTTGCAATCTACCCGTCTGACCAAGGTCTAATATCCAGAATTTACAAGTAACTTAAACGTATTTACAAGAAAAAAACAACCCCATCAAAAAGTGGGCAAAGGATATGAACAGACACTTCTCAAAAGAAGATGTTTACGTGGCCAACAAACATATGAAAAAAAGCTCATCGTCACTGATCATTAGAGAAATGCAAATCAAAACAACAGAGAGATACCATCCCATGCCAGTCAGAATGGCGATTATTAAAAAGTCAGGAAACAATAGATGCTGGAGAGGCTGTGGAGAAATAGGAACACTTTTACACTGTTGGTAGGAATGCAAATTAGTTCAACCATTGTGGAAAACAGTGTGGTGATTCCTCAAAGATCCAGAACCAGAAATACCATTTGACCCATCAATCCCATTACTGAGTATACACCCAAAGGAATGTAAATCATTCTACTATAAAGACACATGCACACGTATGTTTATTGCAGCACTATTCACAATAGCAAAGACATGGAACCAACCCAAATGCCCATCAATGATAGACTGGATAGAGAAAATGTGGTACGTGTACACCATGGAATACTATGCAGCCATAAAAAGGAATGAGATCATGTCCTTTGCAGGAACATGGATGAAGCTAGAAGCCATCATCCTCAGCAAACTAACACAGGAACAGAAAACCAGACACCACTTGTTCTCACTCATAAGTGGAGGTGAACATTGAGAACATACAGACACAGAGAGGGGAACAACACACACCAGAGCCTGTTGGAGGTTGGGGGGTGAAGGGAGGCCACTTAGAGGATGGATCAATAGGTACAGCAAAACACCATGGCACACATATACCTGTGTAACAAACCTGCATGTTCTGCACCTGTATCCTTTTGTTGTTTTTTTTTAAGAAGAAATAAAAAAAATAAGAAGGCTCTATCCATCATGCCTGTTGGCTGTCAAATTATTTTGAGTGAATAGAAACCCATGGTTCCACCTGGAGAACAGAAGGTATAAATCCCTCCTGTCCACCATACACGATTTTCATGAGGAAGCAATGAGAGAATGGATAGGAAAGAGCTGACGTTGTTACTATCATTATTGCTGACCAGCCTAATTCATAGGTATATGCAGTTCTTCATTCCTTTGAGTTATTTCATAAGGATGGCAGTTCTCAACTTGAATGCCAAGTCTTGAATGCTTCTCTTGATGGGTTGTGGAACTTGCAGCTAATTTGTTAATAAGTGAAATATTGCATTTGGTGAATTACTTAATTCAGATGATTCTCAGAATGACTTCCTTCACTGGGCTGTATCTTGTTGAGTGGCAACAAAACAGGGATCGTACGTGATTCACATCCTCGCTTAATAGTCGTTAGTCCAAAACCTAGGAATGTGCCATCTGTGGGGATGTGTTGGGTGGATGGATAGGAAAAGGGTGGAAACCCTTGTCGTAGGATGTATTTCTGGGAAGGAGATGCCTAGGTCAATAGGTTTCAACATTTTTATGATTCTTGATACTGTGAAAAATTACCTCCCCAAAGGATTCCATCAATGTGTTCAGCCTTTGAGATTGTATATTACACTGTTTACAAAGCTCTTTCGGTCATGTTGGTTATCGTTTTGTAGGTTTGGCGAGTGTCGTATCCCAGTTTAATAGGTAGGGAAATTGAGACTTGGAGACAGACGGAATGACATGCGAAGTTCACAGTCCTTTTTCCTGGCTGGAGGATCCAGGTTCTCTGAAGTTTAGTTAGTCTAGTATCAGAGCTACCATTTTTCTTAGTGCACCAGCAACCCCTCTGACAGTAATAGCCACGGAATTCTGCTGAAAGGATTCAGTCCAACTTGAAAAATGTATCTCACCTACTATGTGTGAAGATTTAGAACCAATTCAACAAAAATTGAACATGAAGTATGGGCAATGATAGATGATGCAAATATAAGACAGTTTCTTCCATTTAAGATGGTGGTAGGAGGGGAGAAGGACATGAATATTTATAAAGTGCCATGCACTTTACATACATGTCTCATTTAATGTTCATAGCAACCCCTGTTACTGTCCAGCTGTTCTATTTCGTTCATCGGTTTTCTGTTTGATTTTTTAAAACCATCATATTTTGTTATTTCAAAACCATCATACTTCTTAAACCTGTGACCCCACCGCTTCCATATCCATAGCTGTAGTTGGTTTTATTCCCTATTCTTGGCCCTGTCACCCCAGGCTCGAGTGCAATGGCATGATCTCCAGCTCCACTGCAACCTCCACCTCCCGGCTTCAAGCAATTCTCCTGTGCTTCCACAATAGTGGCTTCAGCGCCGCCTGCCACCACGTGCCAGCTAATTTTTTGTATTTTAGTAGAGATGGGGTTTCACCATGTTGGCCAGGCTGGTCTCAAACTCCTGACCCTCAGGTGATCCACCTGCCTCGGCCGTCCCAAGTGCTGGGTTACAGGCGGTGAGTCCCA